GAAATGTTCATGTGCGAATCCATTGGAACTTCTTGACAAGGGCTTCCAAAAGCATCCCTCTATTGGGTTCCTCTTCATTTTTCTTTTGTCTTCCAAGGCTGGACTCTAGAGTGATGGATTCAGGATTTGCTTTCAGGTATTTTGATAGCTGTTGGAGTGCTTAGAATCAGTGTCAGTTCCCTATCAAGGATGGAGACATTTTTTAAGAGTATAGTAAGTCTTGGGGCTGGAGAGATGGCTTAGGGGTTAAGAGTACTGACTCCTCTTACAGAGAACTGGTTCAATTCCCAGCACCCACATGGCTACTAACAACCATCTGAAACTCCAGTTCCAGGGGATCCAGCGCCCCCTTCTGGCCTCTTTAAGCATTGCACACATGGGTGTATCTACATACATACAGACAAAATACTCATACACATAAAAATGTAAACTAAAAAAAGGGGGGGTGGAATCCTACTACCAAGTGTAGCTCTTTATCATTTTTCTTTCTTCCAGAACATGTGTATTGTATTAAGGTGGAGATATTTTCAAACTCCAGGGGTGTGGGTATGTGGGGCAGTAGTGCCAGATGTTATATGAAATGAGGCCCCTATGCAAGGTCTCTGGTTGAAAATGAGGTAAGAAAATAAGAGCACACTCATCCTCAGATCCCACCTGAGCTTGAGTCCACGGGGGATCATGAAGAAGATATTTGGACTTCATCAGAGCCCGTTGCTGATTCCCCAAACCTTGCTGGAGATATGTGATAGAAAATAGTTAACACGCCAGGTGTGATGGTGCACGCCTTTAGTTCCAGCACTTGGAGGCAGAGGCAGGTGAATCTCTGAGTTTGAGGCCAGCCTGGTCTACATAGCAAGTTCCAGACCACCTGGGGCTGCAGGGAGACCGTGTCTCAAAAAGACCAAAAAGAAAGAAAAAGAAAGAGAGAAAGAAAGAAAAGGAAGGAAGGAAGGAAAGGAAAATAGTTAACACCATTTTAAAAATTCCCATTTGAAACTAAATATGGTGGTCATGCTTTTAATCCCAGCACTTGGGAGGCAGGGGCAGGTAAATCTCTATGAGAATGAGGTCAGCCTGGTCTATATAGCAAGTTCCAGGTCAGCTGAGGCTACAGGGAGACCCTGTGTGTTGGTTTGAATGAGAATGTCCCCCATAGGCTCCAAGTATTTGGACATTTTGTCCCCAGATGCTGGCACTGTTTTGGGAGGTCTTAGGTGTGGCTATCTGGAGGAAACACATCACTGGTGGTGGACTTAGAGAGTTCTTAAGCCTTGCCGGATCTCCAGACACTCTCTTGCTTCCCGTGCCTACTTGAAGATGTAGAGCTTAGCTTCTGCTCCTCCTCCAGCCACCCCTGCTGCCATGCCTCCCCTCTGAGATAGACTGTAATTCCCCTGGAGCCTTAAGCTCTAATAAATTCTTCCTTTTATAAGTTGCTTTGGTCAGTGTTTCTATCACAGCAACAGAAAAGTGACTAATTCACCTCGTCTCAAAAAAAAAAAAAAAAATTGGCTGGAGAGATGGCTCAGCAGTTAAGAACACTAGTTGTTCTTGCAAAAGACCCGGGTTTGAATCCCAACACCCACATGGCAGCTAACAACTGTCCGTAACTCCAGTCCTAGGGGATCCGACAGCCTCTTCTGACCTCCGCGGGTATTGCATGACACGGATGCACTCACCTACATGCAGGCAATACACGCATACATATAAAATTAAAATAATAAATAAAGAAAAAAAGAAAGAAAAAGTCGTACTGGAAAGACTATTACTGGATTTTTCTGAGCGTTGTTTACTCTCCCTGCCCAGGCTACCCTTTCCCTACTGCGCCTCCTGTGGACCCATTTGCCAGAATCAAAGTGGAAGACTGTGGAAGAACTAAGGGATGCTTTAGGTACGTAGAGCTGCAAGATAAATAACTTTAAGGCTAAGAATTGTACTGTCTTTTCAAGGTAGCACCTAAATCGCATGTATTTCTATTTGGTCATAGGTCTGTACCCTCTCAGAATGTCATCAAGGTTGTGTAGAGTTCTAATCACAAATCCAGTGTTAAGGGATTTTGTTTGTTTTTTGAGACAGGGTCCTTGAATTCTAGGTGATCCTCCTGCCTCATCCGCTGTAGTGCTGGCATTATAGGTGTATGGAGTATTCTGTTTGGGCCTTTTCTTTTTTTTTTTTGTCTTTTTGAGACAGGGTTTCCCTGTAGCCCCAGCTGTCCTGGAACTCACTATGTAGACCAGGGTGGCCTTGAACTCACAGAGATCCGCCTGCCTCTGCTTCCCCGAGTCCTGGGATTAAAGGCGTGCGCCACCACACCCGGCCATTTGAACCTTTTTCAAAGACAGGGTTCTATGTAGCCTAGGCTGGCCTTGAACTTGCTGTGTAGCTGAAGATGAATTTAAATTTCTGATCCTCCTACCTCCACCTCCTGAGTACTTGATTGCAGGTGTGTGCCACCATACGTGACTTATGCAGAGCTAAGGACTGAATCCAGGGCTTTGTACATGTCAGGCAAGCATTCTACAGTCCCAGCCCCAACAATTCCTTTTCAAACAAAGTCATGACTTGTGGATTCTGCATGATGCTAAGAATTTATTGTTGTAGCTTATTAGTTTGAGTGAGTCCCTATGTGATTATTTATAATAGTCTATCAATATATGATTGGCTTAAGCTGGCCATGGTAACACATACTTGTAATCCCAACACTCAGAAAACTGAGGCAATAGAATCACAAATTCAAGCCTAGCCTGGGCTACTTAGGGAGAAGCCCAAAAGAAGAGAAAGAGAAAGGGGGGGAGAGAGACAGAGAGAGATGAGAGAGAGAGAGAGAGAGAGAGAGAGAGAGAGAAAGAGAGAGAGAGAGAGGCGGAGAGAATATGAGAATGAGAATAGGCTTGGTAGAAGGCAATGGAAACTCCTGAATAAAGGTTTCGATGACCATGGCACTGACTTGGTTGTGGTTGTTCAGAGATCAAGGTCAGGGGCTGAGCATTGACTACAAGAGCCTTAAGCGTTATTGGCTTTACAAGACCATGTCCCAAGAATCTAATACTACTGTCATTGAGCAAGATGGTCAGTAGTGTTTAATTCTGGTGGAGATGGAATGTTTTTGAGAAAAGAAGGCTTTTAGTAGCCTGCTGGTTTCAGAGTGGCTTATTCGCCAGGCTGTTCTCTGATCTTGTTACTTTCCTTCCCCCTTTCATCTTTTCACCCCAGTCCCAGGTTGCCTTCTTCATATCTCAGTTCCCTCCTACTTAGAGTATCTCTCCCAGCACAGTAGTAAATCTTGCCTCCTTCCTCAGTCACAGCTTAGCACCCTGGGGTCCTGTTCCTCCACAAAACCTTTCCCTTCCATTTCCTCCCTCCCCTCCCCCTCCCCTCTCTTCCCTTCCCTTTCTTTCCCTTTTTCCTCCCCCTCCCCTCTACCCCTCATTCCTTTCCTTTTCTTCTTCTTTTCTCCCTCTTATGCCTAGGACCAAAGCCAGGGTCTAGTGCATTCTAAACACATGCTACAACAGTGAGTTACACCCCACTGCAACTATTTTGTACTCTGTCATACAGTGTTCCTTAATCTAGGGCTTGCCAGTGACTAAAGAATCTACGAGTCCTTCATAAGAACTTTAAAAATGTTTTATGACATTTTTATTTATTTGTCTTATATGCATGCACACACACACACACTTATATGCCCCAGCACTCATGTGAAGGTCAGAGAACAATTTTTTTCAGGGGTGGGGAATCTGTTCTCTCCTTCTACCAAGTGAGTCCCAAGGACTGAACCCAGATCATCACGCTTGGTGACAGGTACTCTTATCTGCTGAGCCATCTCATTAGTCCCTTAGTAAGAAATTTTAAGTATCTAGTTTCTTCTCAATGACAGCCTTTAAAAATATGAATGAAGCTGGGTGTGGTGGTGCTCACCTTTAATCCTGGGGAGGCAGAAGGAAGAGGATGTCTGTGATATTGAGGCCAGCGTGGTCTGCATAGTGAGTTCCAGGAAGACCCTCTCTCAAAACAAAACAAAACAAAACAAAACAAAAGATGAATGGTTGCTTAATTGTCCTATCTAGATAACTACCTTATACTGTTGTGTTTTAGTGTCTGGCTTCATGATTATATTAGCACCAAGTAAATTTTATACATAAATCATACACTTACACTCAGCAGATACTAGATAAAGGTTTTATGTGGTACATTGTACAAGTATGGGTTTTACAGCACCTCAAGAAATTAAAAAAAAAAAAAAAGAAAGAACTGGGCCATCATTTCATGGTCAGCAGTAAAGCCATGCTCAATTCAGAAAGCCCTATCCAGGGCAGTCAGACACACCGTGTACATAGCTGCAGAAATATACTTTCAGGAACTCATGTCATTCATTGCACAAATTCTGTGTATTTCAGGATTCCTGCTTTTATAGGTTAACTCAAAAATTTGTGAGTTTTCAAAGAAATTTTCTGGGCCATCATTTCATGGTCAGCAGTAAAGCCATGCTCAATTCAGAAAGCCCTATCCAGGGCAGTCAGACACACCGTGTACATAGCTGCAGAAATATACTTTCAGGAACTCATGTCATTCATTGCACAAATTCTGTGTATTTCAGGATTCCTGCTTTTATAGGTTAACTCAAAAATTTGTGAGTTTTCAAAGAAATTTTATGTGTCTTGATTGTTTGGCCTTCATGTATGTATGTGTACCACATGTGTGCCTGATGCTTTCAGAGGCCAGAAAAGGGCATCAGATCCCCGAGAACTGGAGTTAAGGATGGTTTTTAGTCACTATGTGGGTGCTGGGAACTGAACCTGGATCCTTTGCAAAAGCAGCCAGTGCTCTTAACCACCAAACCATGTCTCTAGCCCCAATTTGTGTTATTTTAACTATGAAAAGTTGTAATTTAAAAGAGTTGTTATACATTTTAATTAGCAATAACTTTATAAATTTTTAACTTGAAGATCCTTTTCCCTCTGAAAGAATTCAGAATTCAGTAATAACTAAAGTTTAAGAAATTCTAATATATTCAGAGAACACTGGTAGGGCGTTTAGACACCCTGTTCAAGTCCTGTTGTTGCTGGCACGGATTTTCTGTGCGACCTGACCAAGCCTTATCCTTTTTCTGGGCCTCAGTTTCTATATAGATAAAGTGGAGCAGATCATCTCCATGGCCCCTCTTAAGTGAAACTGTTTCTGAGATCCTGGAAGCCACAGTTTAAGGTTGTTAATAACACTGCTCAGCGTCCTGTTTCTCCCATAGGGGGCGCTCTCGATCTGTATTTGAATTACACAGAAGCAGAACTGTCTCTTGGTATATCTTCCAGGTATGGCAAGCCTGGCTGCAACGCAGAGACATGTGACTACTTTCTTAGCTACCGGATGATAGGGGCTGATGTGGAGTTTGAGCTCAGTGCAGACACAGATGGTTGGGTAGCAGTTGGATTCTCTTCAGACAAAAAAATGGTAAGACAAAAATCACAATAGAAGCTGCTTTTTCTCTTTAGTCTGCTGTGTTTCTTTAGATTCTAGAAGCAAATAGATAGATCAAATTAGCGTATTATATTAGTTACATCTCTCTAATTGCAAGCTTCAAAAACATCAAACGAGTTTCAGTAGAAGAGTTGGTTATCAAAATACAAGGTGTCTTGTGAGAGCCTCAACAATCAGCTCTGTCCACAGCATGCTGCAGAAAAAGCTTCCCAAACCGCACGTCTTATTCCAGCCATCTTGTATCTCTTGCTTATATGTGTGTGGATTGGTTGGGGTTCAGCTCCTTTTAAGTGGGGCTCAGCTGGGCTTGGCTGCACTCCTTGGATTGGATTCTATTTCCAGTGTGTTCTCTAGTCTGGAAGGAGCAGCCACCGTGCATACTTTCTTCTCAGCAGAGGCAGCAGTGAAGAACCACTGGAAGAGGAAGAGTCACAGTGCCTTTCCTTCCTATAGAATACTTCTGCGGTCAGATATGTAGTATTCTCCCCTGCCCCACTGCGCATGTGCACGTGCACACACATGCACTTACCCACACCCACCAAGCAAGTCTCCCATGGAGACCAGCTGAATGTCCTGTTAACTCCATTTCTGACACAATCTACCTGAGACAGTGTCACATGTCACAAAGTGAGGCTTTAGTCTAGCAAGACTGCTCCACATAGATACTAACTGCCAAGCCCAATACTTTAGAGTTCCCAGGACTTCCTCTTGAGTTTCATGAATTTGTTAGAACTCCAGGAAGCACTTATATCTACCCATGTGTTAATCAGCCTTCCATTACTGTTAACCAGTTTTAAAAGGTTTGAAGGGTTGCTGATGCAGCTCAGTGTTAGAGAACTTGCCTAGAATGCACAAGGACCCTGATTCAATCCCCCAACACTGCCACAACAAACAAGCAAATACCCAACAAGAGCAACGAAAAGGTTTATTTATTCATTTTTATATTTTATTATTTTTATTTTATGTGTATGAGTGTATTGCCTGCATGTATGTGAGTGCAACTGTGTCGTGCAATGCCTCGGAGGTCAGAAGAGGGCTTCAGAATCCCCTGGAACTGGTTCATAGCCGCCATGTGCGTGCTGGGAATCAAACCCAGGTTAAGGGCAGTCATGCTCTTAACCGCTGAGCCATCTCTCCAGCCCTGAAAAGGTTTATTTTATCTCACCATTACAAAAGTTTCAATCTATGGTTGTTTGGCCCACTGCCTTTGGGCCTGGAGGAAGACAGTAGGTTGTAATGGAATGTCTGTGGGAGAGGAAAGCTCCTAGCTTTAAGAGAGACAGGAGGGATCAGAGTCCCAATATCTCCTTCAAGGAGCGCACCCCAATTATCTTACTTCCACCGGGCCCGATCTTTTAGAGTTTTTACCACTTCCTAATAGTGCTATAGACTGGACACCAATCTTTAACACGAAGGCCTTTGAAAGGCACTTGAGATGCAAACTCCAGCACCCATTATTGTAAAGGGATTGTAGAGGAGACAGATAAACAGCCAAACATACAAGATACATGGAGAAGGTGTGGGAGAGTGAAAAGGAGTGTTCATGCCTACTTAGGGTGTACCACCCTCCAGGCATCTCTGTGTATTTAGCAGTCTGGAAGCTCATCCAAACCCTGCACTTTGTGTGTGTGTGTGTGTGTGTTTGTGTGTCAGTGCATGTATATATGGATGTGTGCATGCATAAGTGTATATGTGGGTATGGAGGTCAGAGGACAGTCTCGGTATATTTTCGTAGTTTCTTAGGCCCTTTATCTGAGATCTGAGATGGTCTTTCACTGGCCTGGAACTTCACCAAACAGGCTAGGCCAGGGAGCTCTGGGGATCCACCTGTCTCTGCCTCTCATCTTCCCATTGCTGGGATTACACACATGCTCAACCATACCTGGCTTTTTAAATGGGTTCTAGAGACCCAAACTCAGGTCCTCATGTTTGCCAGGCAAGAACTTTACCAACTGAGCCATCTCCACAGCCCCTCTTCTGGGTTTTTATGAAGGTTTCTTTATGAGGACATAATTGATTAAATCAATGGCCATGAGTGATAACTCAACCCAGAGGCTGTGGGGTGGAGCTGGAAATCTCAATCTAATCATGCTTGGTCCTTTGGGCGACCAGCCACCAGCCTGAAGCTCTCTAGGGCCCCCAACCACCAATCATTCATAAGCATATGAAAGACACTCTTCTCACTCTGGGGACTCTAGTTTTAGGAACTATGTCAGGAACCAGGGGCAGAGACCAAGTGTGATTTCTTATTATGTCACAGTATCATGGCCACACAAGCATAATTCAAACCTCTGCTCAGGTCATAGGTATTCTATTTGCCCAGTCACAGCCAATGCACAGCCAATCCCAGAATGAATTGACTGGAAAGTACACACCCTGTACTGGGAGGGCCTACGAAGTTGTGTATATATTACTGCTGCTATGACTAGGAAGTGAAGAATTGAGTCCAATAGTTAGTCTTCCACAGGATCTATTAGCCCAAAAATATCTCAGTCCTAGAAAGGACATTGATGGGAAGAGGTAAAGGCAACAGGAAGCTCGGCAGTGGTCCACTTCTTTTCTCTGTTTCTCTTGGTAGCCGTGCTGTGTTCTACCCTGCTTCCTCTGGAGCCAAATAACTATGCTAGGCTTCTTCCCAAAGGAAGGGATACAGACTCAGACATGGGCTCTAACAGTAGCTGATTCCTAGTTGCCATGTGCCTTTAGTTTTTTCATTTTAAAATAGCTTCTGAGCCTTTTAAATCAATTAGCTAATCAATTAATTAATTTGCCTGGTTGTTTTCTCATCAGGCTACTTTACATGGGTTTTGACAGGAATTCGTGGGTGGTGATACATCCTTCAAAAATCACATCGGGGGACTTGATGTTGGTTGTGATGTTAACTTTGCTCACTTGTCTAAGATTCTTTTTAAGGATTTTTTGAAATTACATTTATTTATTTGTGTGCATGTGTGTGAGGGCGAGATCCGAGTACAGTGGTGCCCATGTGGAGGTCAGCAGACAACTTGTGGGAGTTGGTTCTCTCCTTCCACCAGGTGGGTCCCAGAAATCAAGCCCGGATCCTTATGCTAGAATGGCAGGCACCTTTACCTGCCAAACCATCTCACTGGCCCTGTTTAAGGCTTCTAATGGTATTTAAAATGGATTTTGATGAGATTTCTAATCACACAGGTGATAGAGTATATGCTTCTGAGTAAAAAGTTTGCAGAAAAAAAAACCTTTAACTTTTTTCTTCTCAACCATTTTCTCTGCTAGGGTGGTGATGATGTCATGGCCTGCGTCCATGATGGCAACGGCAGGGTCCGCATACAGCACTTCTATAATGTGGGCCAGTGGGCAAAGGAGATTCAGAGAAATCCTGCCAGAGATGAAGAAGGTGTTTTTGAGAACAATCGTGTCACCTGCAGGTTTAAGCGCCCTGTGAATGTTCCCAGGGACGAAACGATTGTGGATCTGCACTTGAGTTGGTATTACTTGTTTGCTTGGGGCCCAGCCATTCAGGGTAAGTTTGCATTTCTGCCTCTGCATTGAACACTGGTCACCACTGTGCTTGTGTTGACTGTTAACTGAAGTCACACTGTGTGTACATGGGAGCTGTGAGCACTCTGAATTCTCTAAAATAGAAAGGAAATATGAGTCCTTCCTCCAGAAAGTTCTAAAGAACTTAAACACACGTGGACAGACAGGTGGACACTTGGCACAGTGCACATGTAAGACAGCATAGGATCAGTGTGTGCTTCATGAAGTGGTCATAGGTCATAGTGGGGTGCAGGCTGCTTAAGTCTCACACTTCCATGTGTTCCTTACCATGTCCTTCAGAGAGCTAGAGAGCATTACCTTTGAATTAGAGAGATCAAGAGATTTGCTCACCCTCTTCAACTAATGATAAAAATACAATTCAATTCTGAGTCTTTCAGATTCCAAAGTCAGAGAATTATCATAATTATCATCCACTAGGTAAGAAACAGGTAAGGCTTCTAGAGATTTCTCTAGAACTTGACAGAAAGCATTTCATTAATTCTCCCTTTATGACTGTTCTCATGGTCACAAATCAACCAAGCTAGCCTATATTTTAGCCCATTAATCCTTGAATATTAAGGTGCATAATAATTCCCTGTCTGTATGTTAAAATACGATCTTCTGTGGGGCGTGGTGGCGCATGCCGGTGGAGGCCGAGGCAGGTGGATCTCTGTTGTATGCACATGTATAAGTACACATATCTACATCTACATGTGCACATACCACACACACATACACCACACACAAATATAAAGTAAAGTAGATAAATAAATAAATAAATAAAAAAAAATATGATCTTATACATATTGGGGATCGGGGCTAAGAGTCTACGTTTCTCATAATGCTGGTCTGTGGATGACATCACCTCCAGCAGCAAAGCTCTCCATCAATTTCCTATCAAAGACCCAAGGACATATTAAAAGACCTTTTAGAGCTTGTTGCTAAAAATCAAGTCACATTGTGAGCATTCCTCCTAGTCAGTCAGCCTAGTGGTCTGACCAAGGTTGGGGTAAGTGGGGTTTGCAGACCTGAGAACTCACTCTCACTCTAGCTCCTGAGAATTGCATCTTCCTTTTAACTTTTTTTTTTTTTCTTTGAGCCAGGGATCCTACTATGTTGCTCAGACTGGAGATATCCTCCTGCTTCAGCCTCCTGAGTGGCTGGGGTTATAGGTGTATACCAAGGCACCCAGCTTGATATCTGTCTTTACTGTGTGGTCAGCAAGGTCTCCCTGTAGTTCCAACTGGCCTGAAACTTGCTATATAAACCTGGCTGACCTTGATCTTAGGGATCCACTTGCCTTGCCTCCTGAGTGCCGGAATAAAAGTCGTGTGCCACCATAACCAACTCAGCAACTTTTTGTTGCTTCATCCGGTCTCACTTTTTTCTCTTCAGTTTCTATCAATCAATTTTAGGATTATACAATCATCTCCTCCTCCCTCCTCCTCTTCCTCCTCCTCCTTCCCCTTCTCCCCCATTCCTCCTTCCCTTCTACCTCCTGCCCTTCCTCCTCATCCTCCTCCTCCTCCTCCTCCTCCCCCCCCCCCTTTCCTCCTCATCCATTGCCGGTGGGAAAATAACTGGCTGATCTGGAGATCAGTGACACCTTTCTGTCTGCTCCCTTCCCACATTAGTCCCTGTGGGTTTGCAACGCTGTCCTCGGTACTTTCACTACACTAGGAAATAAATGATATTTTAGCCTAGAGGATAAAAACCTCATTTAAAATGATGAGGTTGGTGTCTAAAATTTTGAATTTGAGTACTAGTTCTGCTCCTTGGTAACTGTATAATATTTAGCCTACCATCTCACATCCATACTTCATTTCCTTATATCTAAAGTGAGCATATTAATAATACCTTCTTCATTGGGTTATTGAAATAGTAAGTGGAAACAAATGTTTAGAATTGCTTTAACAAATTGAAAAATGTCACACAGTGGTCCCCTTTCATCTGTGGGAGACATGAACCAAGACCCCCAGTGCTTACCTGAAACTACACATACTTTTTCCCTCTATACATAATTTATAAACTAGACTCAGAGAGTATCAGTAATAATTATAAACAGTTACAACAGTATACCGTAATTAGTTGTGTAAATATGATCTTTTGTTCCCTCAGAATATCTCACTGTCCTGTACTTGAATCACATAATGGGGATTCCTATATGTTTTGAAAGTTATCCTGTTATAGTCTAACATCCAAGATTTGGAGGGATCCAAATTTATCTAGCTTTACCTGATAAACTCCCTCCAGACCTCTCTTCTCGCACATCCATACTCCATGTGTTGGCCTGTGCTTTTCTTGTTTCCTGGGAGCACTTCAACACCTGTCCATTCTATTCCTGTCTCTTAGAGGGATCAACTTTGAGCTAAGGCTTGAAGGGGGAGAAATTCCATTTCCCTCAAGAAAGGCACGAACTGGAGGTGCATGGCTTAGCCCAGGAGGCCAGGCAGGGGACCAGTGAAGTGACATTAGGTGGAAACTGTGAATGAATCTTGTAGAAAAAGGTATCTCTCTGCCAGCTGGAGGAGTTTGTGTAGCAGGAGCAAGCCCTAGAGCAGAGACTTCCTATGCTGTCTTTCAGAGCTTCCTGAGAGTCAGGATTGTAAAAACCCTCAGTCTGAGCCAAGCCTGGTGGTACAGGATGATAATTTCAGCCACTCTAGAGGCTGAAGCAGGAGGATTACATGTTCAAGGCATGTTTGGGCTACAGAGTAAGTTTAAGGGAGCCTGGGCAATTTAGTGAGACCCTGTCTTAAAATAAAAAGCTTTAAAAAGGGTGGGGGCATGCAGGGGATACAGCTCAGTGGTAGACTTCTTAATAGAGTCTTACTGTGTAGCCTGGGTTGGCCTTAAATTCACAGAAATGCACTTGTATCTGCCTCCTGAGGATTGGGATTATAGGCCTGTGCCACCAGGCCTGTCTCAAGTTATAGGCACATTTAGCCATGCCTTGTTTTTTATGTGGCTGCTGAGGATTCAAACTTAGGGCCTCATGTCCTCATTCATGTTTACAGAGTGAGCAATCTCACCGACTGAACCATCTCTCCCACTCAAGGCAGGCTAACCCTTAATATCCCACAGACAGTGAAAGAGGGCTTCCCTTAAAGTGAGACTTTGGTATCTTCTAGAGCATTGATTCATGTCTACAAGATTTGGGGCTGGGAAAGTAGCTCAGTGATAGAGCATTTACTTAGCACGTGTGAGGGCCTGGGTGCATCAATGCCCCCCCCCCAAAAAAAAGATTTGAGGAGGAAAAAATGAGTAGCCTTTGCTGTGTTTATTAAAAATCTAGTTTTTCTATTTGATATTAAGAAAGTTAAACATTTTAGAGACACGTAGGAAGTGATATAGTTCATCTAAGTAGCAGTACTAAAACTGGCTGCCACAGAGAGAGCCAACATTGTTCTGATGAGGGGGTTGCAGATTAGTAAGAACCATCTTGAGGGGAAAGTTAAATGGTTTCTGCATTCTCTGTTGCATGTGCAATTGTAGAGAATTCTGATAACTCTGATCTCTGATTCCTAATCTTTATAATCACTGCATGTATCTAACAGGGAAGACATGATTTTAGTATTTCTGCCTTTTAACTCTACTGAGCTTTAGCCGCACTCCTTCTGCTTCTTTCTTAAAGGCTCCATCACCCGGCATGATATAGACTCTCCTCCAGCTTCAGAGCGCGTTGTCAGTATCTACAAGTATGAAGATATTTTCATGCCATCAGCTGCCTATCAGACCTTCTCCTCTCCATTCTGTTTGCTTCTCATTGTGGCCCTGACCTTCTATTTACTGATGGGAACTCCTTAACCTTAGCTGCAAGGCTGAAGGGAACGGAAAGCTTTCAGTATGTACGTTTCAAGAATATCCAGTATAATTCCTGCTTCTGCTATTTAAAAAAAACAAGTCATGATTTCAACTTCTTTAGGGGAAAAAAGAATGAGCTTCTCTTCTAGTCAAAGGGGATTGTTAAGCAGTGATCTACTTTTGAGAAGTCCTTGCAACTTTTGTAAACACTTTCAAATATGTTTTCTATTTGAGCTTCACAATAGCCATGTGTTGGCTTGATAAAACTGTGATTGTCATCATACCAAGTGAGATCTGAAACCACACAAAGGCTGCCTTTTGATGACCCACATGCCAGCCAACCTTGGCTGGTGTGATCAGATAACACATAGCAGGGCAGAGAAAGAACTAGGCACAGAAACCATGTCTCAGAACAGTCTTTACTCTGAGCAGTACCACACGAGAGAGTTACTGTAGACAGCACCATAGGATGTGACAAGAGTGCCATCAGCCTCTTAGGGCAAATTTCTGCAGAGCATAAATGCTTTTTTATAATCACATGGTTGGTGGGGACTATGGGACTGATTACAATGATATCCAAGTGGTTTGTATTTATTTGAAATTTCTTCTCATTTAGTGATTAGCTATGAGAAAACATTTTTCTATTGCTGTTAGGAAAGGCTAAAAATAGAGCTATGAGTGTTCTTGAAGATATGAAATTATTCTAATGATAAATATAGGGGAATTCTTAGTTAGAATTTGAACTCTTCTACGACTATATTCTATAAATTAAGGTATTCATCTGTGGCTACAGTCAATGGTGTTGTTAAAGTCAGCATACATTAAATATAATGAATACATGTAACAGAAAAATCATCTAAATAAAAATAAGACATTTTAATAAGATACCAACATTTGAAGATTGTAGACATTTGGAACAAAAATGAGAAAATGACCCCCAATGGAAATTCACCTAGCATATCAATTAAAAATTGTAAATTGGCACTCAGCATAATTCCTAATGATGCCCAGTGTCATGTGTTTTCTTTTTTCAAACAAGCCCAGATGCCCCTTTATCCAAATGTGTGCACTGGCAACCTCTGTAGAGGAGAGTAGCTATAGGCATCATTATGTTGCCATTGTGGCATTCTAGAATTCTCTGATTTGTCCTCATTGCTTTGAAGCTGGCTCCAACTTTGTGAGTGAACAACACCGGACTATGATTTCTAAAGCCATCTTCAAGATTCATGTCAGAGGTGAAAGTCTGCCTGTGGGAAAAGCTTTCAGAGTCTTCTGGACGTGATTCAAAATAAAACAAGTGTTAATATTTTCTGACATTGCCCGGTTACCCACATAGGGTTTCAAACCTATAGGGTCCAAGTCCATGGCTCCACCTGACGACAACTGCCTCTTCACTAAGCCCGCTGATCTTGGTCCAGCGTGGTTCAAGCATGGCCAGTGTATCGCCTTCTCAGTTCTAGTAGTTGGTTTAGGAGTGAAAGTATTTGAGACACTTGTGTTGTAAATAAGAAAGCCAATATTTTTATATTTCACTCTTAAGTGTATAATAATTGAACTATAAACAGTAAAACAAATAGAGACTTCTGTTATTATAGGCATGAGTGGCATTTCCTTCCACTTACATTTCACATCACATTACTATTTCAAGTATTTTGACTTTAGTGACCAGTTTTGAGTATTTCTACTTAGAATTTTTAGTGACTTCTCCTTGCCCTTACAGTAAAATGCAAGCATTTGGTTAGCTTTGTCTTCTGCTGCTTCGGGGTCTCACTGCTCGTCCCAATGACACTGAAGGGCCCTACGTTCTTCCAACCTGCTCTCTCTCACCTATCCTGCCTTGGGTCCAAAAAAAACACCTTGTGTGTGATGAGTTACTGCTTGTCTTTAAGACCCCGGCTTAGTATCTCTTCCTCTAATCCCCTGAACTGTGTAGGTATAGGACTTAGTGAGTGTTCCCATAGCCTGCTGGGCCTCCTCATCACATATGTCAGACTTTATTATAATTTGCTGGCTTTGTCCTCACTGCTAAACTCCCTCATACAGGAGACATTTCTTATCCTTGTAGCAGACACTACTTCATAATAGGTACTCAGAAGACTGGTGGAATAAATAAATATATGAAGTTATATTGATATGGTAAGTTTATTTGGTTCAAAGGAGTATTTTAACAGGCTGGCCAATGTTTCTATATTCCCTGCATGTGCTTAAACCTTAGATTATGCATTTAATAAACAATGAACTTTGTCTTTTGAAACATAAATGACAGGATCCTTAGCAACAGTGTGGTTTTGGACTTGAGTTGGCATTTTAAACAATGATCGTTCAGAAATAAGGATTTACGGAGTAGGAGCTGAGCGTGGTGGTGTGTGCATTTAATCCCAGCACTCAGGAGGCAGAGGCAATCAGAGCTCTGTGAGTTCCAGGCTAGCTTGATTTACATAGCAAGTTCCAGGCCAGTCAGGGCTACATAGTGAGACTCATTCTCAAACAAAACAAAATAAAGGGGGCTGGAGAGATGACTCAGCAGTTAAGAGCACTGGCTGCTCTTCCAGAGGACCTAGGTTTGATTCCCAGCACTCATGGTGGCTAAAAACCATCCATCATCCATAACTCCAGTTCCAGGGGGTCCTACACCCTCTTCTCACCTCCTCGGGCATTGCATGACATGGGTGCACTTACATACATGCAGGCAATACATTCATAAAAAATTTTAAAGTAATAAATAAAATATTAAAACAGTAAAATGAATTTGCAGACTAGGGATGTAGAACAGTCCTTGATCATCATCTCAGAGAACCATCCATTGGTAGATGTGCCAAAGTTAAAACTCCATAGACCAACTTTATTTGTTCTTACCCAATGTTAGAGAACTATTTCTCTCTCTCTCTCTCTCTCTCTCTCCTTCCCTCCCTCCAGGGCCTCACTCTATAATACAGGTAGGCCTCACAATCCTCCTGCCTCAGCTTCCTGACTCCTGAGTGCTAGTGTTACAAGTGTGTGCTACCATGCCTGATGATACATTCCCATTTTCTAATACAGTCTTGTTCCAAAGGAGATGCACAATCAGTGCTTTTTGGTAAAATGCCTAAGTGAGATATTAATAGTAGCTAAATATATTTAGTGCTGTTTTAAGCACTTCACATGGATTAACTCTTGATCCTAACAACAAGAGGAAGAGTCTGCTGTTAATTCAGTTTTACAGAAGACAAAACTGAAGCTGGTCATTTGGCTAAACTGCCAGTTCGGGCAAAGGCTTTAGAGACTCTTAATTCAATGCCCTTATTTTACCAGGAGGCAGCAAGGGCCAAGGGAGATGATAAGATTTCCTACACCTTCATGCACCTTTGTGCAGATTCTTTAAAACTTCCATTAAACAGAACCTGCTAACCATACTCAGATTAACTGAGTGCCTTCTCCTGTCCTTTAGTAATATACATGGAACGGGAGGACTTCTTATGGTTGTAATTGAAAGGAACACGTTTCATTTTGTACCACTTTATTTTCTGCTTAAAATCTTTACTATTTTCCCAGTCATTTAGATTTTTTTTTTTTTTTTTTTTTTTTTTTTTTTTTTTTTTGTCTCCCTGTAGCCCCAGCTGTCCTGGAACTCACTATGTAGACCAGGCTGGCCTTGAACTCACAGAGAGCCGCCTGCCCTCTGCCTCCCGAGTGCTGGGATTAAAGGCATGTGCCACCACACCCGGCCTCATTTAGACCTTTTTCGTTTTTTTTTTTTGCAGGCCTAGGGACCATAGGGCCTGTTCCTGCTAGGGAAGAGCCCACCACTGAGCTCCAGCCTCAGCCCTTTGTAATGCTTTTAATGATTATAAAAGTGAAAGATCGGAAGAATGCATTTGTTTTAATTAAATTTTTTCAAACATGATTTCCTAAAACCTAAGTCTGTCTTCTGGCATGGAACACCATATGCCTTTGTTGTCCCATTAGTCAGATGCGATTTCAAACAAAGTATAGCAGCCATATTTAATTATCTTTGGTTGGCTTTTGCCCTTAAAGAAATCAGAGAAGTTGACAACTGAGGAATGGATTTTCATCCCTAATGATATTCATATTATTTTATAATAAAATTTATTGTCCATATTCAGGATTTTGTCTTAAAAGATATTACCACTGAGGTTGTGTGTCGTTGTTCTATCCCAGGACCAGATTGAATTTTTTTTTTTTTTTTTTTTTTTTTTACTCATTGGATAGCCTTAGCTGGCCTAGAACTTGCTGTGTAGACCAGGCTGGCCTTGAACTCACAGAGCTCTACCTGCCTCTGCCTTCCAAGTGCTGGGATTAAAGCTGTGCACCACATACCTAGGCAGACTGTAAATATTTTTAACTTTTTGCTCTGTGTCCTAGCTGCCATAAGGTAGTTCATAAACAAGCATGGTTGTGCACCAGTAAAAATTAATGAAATATGAACTTCATATAATTTGCAAATAATCATAAATATTATACTGAGTTATAAAAAGCTTACTTGAAAATGGAAAACCCACTCAGTTTGCAAACTGAACAAAAACAAGAAGCAGGCTAGTGTTGGCTTGTGAATTCCAGTTTTGCCACACTTGATTGTTCTTGGTCAGGGACATAGTAGTGTATGGGTCAGTTGTAAATTATATTACCAGTAATGTATTATTAATTGTGAAGTAATCAAGTATTCTGAAGTATCAAAGTAATAATTTGTTTTAAAATAAGTTATAGATTTGTTGTTATAAATGAACGGCGGTTTTTGGGGGTTTTTTGGTTTTTGGTTTTTGGTCTTTTTGAGACAGGGTCTCCCTGTAGCCTCAGCTGGACTGAACTCACTGTGTAGACCAGGCTGTCCTCAAATTCAAAGAGATCTTTTGGGATTAAACTCAAAGTGCTGGGATTAAAGGCATGCACCACCACACCTGGCATGAATGGCATTCTTATGCACTTAAGTTCTTATATATTTTCTGACGTTGGCATGAAAGAGATAGCAATAAAATACCAACCTGGGTAAGTAACAGTTTTGTTTTGCCTAAGGTGTAGTGATCACGAATGCGTTTTACTGTTGAATTGCTCTTTATGGTGAACATTTCTGTTTCAGAATAATTTATGCGTAGAATTTTTAACATATTTTATTTATTATTTTTACTTTATGTGTGTGCGTGTAATTGCCTGCATGTAGGTAAGTGCACCTGTGTCATGCAATGTCTGTGGAGGACAGAAGAGACTGTCGGATCCCCTGGGACTGGAGTTACGGACAGTTGTTAGCTGCCATGTGGGTGCTGGGATTTGAACCTGGGTCTTCTGCAGGAACAGTCAGTGCTCTTATCCGCTGAGCCATCCCTCCAACCCCTGTGTAGAATTTTTTTAAGGATTTATCATAATGGCATGAGAGCATTTTATACATAGTGTACGTCTATCTTATGTCACGAGAAAAAATGAAACATTGTTTGAAAACCAGCACATTGGGCCACTTGCTGAGATGTCTGTAGTTGATTGAGTATAATTGTGTATCTTTATTCACTAAACAGAATTGGTTGTGTTTCATGAATGATTTGATTATTCTCAGTGTGTGTGCGTGCGTGTGTGTATACATGTATATATATATATATGCATGATGTGTGCTTATACATAAATACATACACACACAGACAGACACACAAACACATACACACACCCCATGAGCATTAAAGGTCATTGTCAGAGTTGGTTCTGTTTCTAATCAGTTGAATACTTTAAAACCCAGAAATAAAACATTGTGTGTTACAGGCATACCTACCCTTGAGTTTTTAGTAATTTAGTTCGTAGAAGTGATTTGTGAATCTTTTGTTAGGCTTTGCCTCTTTCATTTACCATTATATGAATTATTAAGAATGTACAAAGCATAACTGTTGAATTTGACTTTTCTATACCATTAGTTAGGAAATCAAGACTCATGTTAGTTGAGTAACCATTATGTTGATGCAGCCTATGTGTGGATTATGTTTAATTAGATTCCTTATTCTGTTATTCAGTTAGCAGTTCGTGT